GCAGTGAACTTGTATTTGCAAAACGGCCGCCGCTTGGTTTATATTAGAAAATAGGAACTACACACAGGCAGACGCCTTATGATGTGCTTGCACCAGAATGTGGCCCAACAGGGCGCGGGTGGCTCACTCCTTTCCCGCCACCATGTTTTCCGCCAATGACTTCTTTCAGTATTTTAAAACTATTATCCAACTTAGCAGAAGTTGCTAAAGATCACTGGCGATGTGGCGAGTGGATTGGCAGTGCGCAGTCTGAGGGCAGGAAGACCACTTGGGAAACTGCTACACAAATTCAGGAGAGAAATGATACGGAGCTACTTGAAAATGGCAGCTGTGGAGATAGAAATAAGCAGTCTGGAAAGAGATTAAAGAAGGAGAATCTAAATAACTGAATCAATTGCCTAGTTGTAAGGGAGGGGGAGTTGAATGAAGAAGTCAAAGATGATGGTATGTTATCCAAGCAGAGATTATCATTTCTTGTTTGTTTGCTTTTTAATGTGGGTGTGGGAAGAGTAAATGGTGAGGTTAGTTGCAGACATACCAACTTTAAGTATTACTGTGATATTAGTATAATGATGGCAAAACCAATTGTACATACACAACAAATCATTTTTAACACCACTTTCCTCTATATCAACCATTTATCTTCTAAAATATTTTCTGAAATATTTTCAAAGAAACAAATAATAGTGATAGCTAGAAAAAAGCACACAGTGAAATTATTTTTATTGAACGTTGTAAATCAAATTATGTTGTAAAATAATTAAAAACTAAAAAAAGATAATTAAATTCTATAATATAAAAATATGAATAAAGTAATGGAATTAATACTTTCAAATTATATTAATATATTCATTAAAAAGAGTAAATACCTTCCAGCTCAGAGCCTGGAGACAAGCTGAACTAAAGAAGGAGCATGTAAGATGTTAGAAATGCTTGGAATTTGAACACTGGACTTATGAATGCACAGGAAAAAGAAAATACCTACATAAGCCTTCAAGGACAGCAGAACTAAAGAAAGCTTTAAAAGTCAAAGAAAACAGATTACAGTTACAACAGAGCATGGCAGAAACTAATGTAGAAAGACAGACCAAGGATAAAGGGTCTAAGAGTATAATCATTTGCAGTAACAATCGCAGTGATGTTCAGACAGTGATGCTTCAGTAGTGAAGAAAAGTCATCCTCTGCAGAGGACAGTTTGGCCTCCTCCACAAGCTTCTCCTCATCTGATTCACACTTAGATTCCAGCTCTTCTACTAGCAGCAGCACCAGCATCAGTACAGATCCAGCTCCAAAGATGAACCAACAAAGAAAAGAAATAGAATTGCTCCATCTATATTGGACTGAAAGACTGAAAACATTAATATGATTCTCAAAAGGGAATTTAGAATATGTTAAGGTCAAATAGGTTAACTGGTCAAAATTTCTCAAGTTCAAAAATTTCTAAACATTTTACATTGTAAGACTGTAAGGAGTATTAATAATGAATTATAGATAAAGACTTTTTATTTTAATGGTAAATCGTGTTTTTTCTTTTTTATCTTTAAAATATATCTCTCAATCTCGTTCAAATCTGAAATGCAGTAAATCTGTTTTTGTGATAAAACTTGTCTTTCCAAGTAAGTGTCATACTTTGCTAAAAGTTAACTATATGTATCAAACATTTTCAGAATAATGCTTCAAAATATCTAGCAATGAATGTCTAATGCTTTTTCCTGTGTATCATGTAAGAGTCAGTACATTGTTACTATAAGCTAGGAGTTTTCTTGCTGTTAATGTATGCTCTATTTTTATGTTTATGTTCAGGAAGTTATTCTGACTTCTTGTCTTAAATGAAAATTTCAAAGAACCTTTAATATATTTATACCCTTTGACTGCTACAAGTTTAAAGTTGCTGTGTTGTGCCATTCATTTGTTTCTGGTTCTGTGAGTTCTTAGAGTTATGCTTTTCTGAGCAAAAACGTTTTAGAGGCACCTAAAAAGGGATTTAAAATCCAAAACTACTTAGGAGTGCAATCTTTTTTTTTTTTTTTTTTTGGTGGGGAACCAAATCCTTGACATTAGTGTCACAAGGCTGTGCTCTAACCAACTGAGCTAACTGGACAGCCCCAGGAATCTAACCTTGGTGACTTTTGATAAATTCAGTGTATCACAAAATAAAACAGCCATGTAAAAGTATAGTTTAGATAAAAGTGATATAAATATCTTTGTGTATTAACTTGCTATAAAAGGTATCATTCAAAGGTAGAAAAAGGTAGGAGAAAGAGAGGTAATTTTTACAGAAAATTAGGACTACAAGGGTTGCTTTGTATTAAAAATACTTTTAAGCTTTATCATATGTATTGCCTTTGCCATTTTTGCAATTACAGTATGACATTAAAATGTAACGGGTCAGGGCCGATCCCCTGGCGCACTTGGGAGAGTGCAGCACTGGGAGCGCAGCAACGCTCCCGCCTGGGTTCGGATCCTATATAGGAATGGCCAGTGTGCTCACTGGCTGAGCGCGGTGTGGGCGACACCACACCAAGGGTTGCGATCCCCTTACCGGTCATGAAAAAGACAAAAAAAAAAAAAAGTAACGGGTCATATATGACAGCTACTGCACAAATAGAAGGACTTGGATTAATCTGGTGTGTTTACATAGCATATACATGGTTGAAATCTAGCATGAAAGTTGAAAAGGAAATACTACACAATATTTCTTAAAAGTAAATACTCTATTGGGGTGAGATATTTGATTTAACATCACAGTATTCTGTGATATCTTTTAACATTTTTGGAAAGAGATATCATTTGTAGAAAAAATTGATTTGGGTTAAATATAGGTTTTTCAAACTCAGAATGTTAAAGGTTTTTTTATGTTTTTATGAGAATGTACTAGAATATTACTTTTGAAGAAAATGGGCTTTTATTTAAATATTGAGATATGTGTATGCTGTGAATTTAAGAAACCTGTAATTACCTATAAGTTTTACAGAACTGTCTGCTTTCTTTGACTGTAAATAAACTTTAAAATGCCAACTTATAGGCTCCATACAAAATCTATCCATTGACAAGTAAATTTAATAAATTACTAATCAAACACAAAAAAATGGGGGAACATATTTCTACATATTAGTGTGTCTCAGGACTCAATAATCACATTATTGTTTTTGTTTTCAAGCCCAAACTTCTGAAGATTTGTCAAAAATTGATCTTCTTTGCATACGCTTGTTTACTAGACAGTATAGCCAGATTTTTCAATTTCTTTTCACTTATAGTTGATTGAAGAACACTTTTAATTAATTTTAATGTTGGTGTTTTTTCACATGAAGTAAAAACTCTTTTTCTCTGGAGAGAAACGTTCTTAAACATAAAAATAAATTTGTCAGATATTCATTATAATCTTATTCACAATAAATTCCAAAAATTGTGATCATATCCATGTCTTTGTTTCTTCAGGATGTATGCTAGTGGTTTTGAATAACTCTACAGTCAAAAATATTTCCACTAAAATATTTTCACCGAAAATTTATCATAAAGTTTTATAATATTGGTTACAACTACAGAAAATTTTTTTTCAAAAAATGAGAGAGAGAAAGAAAAAGAAAAAGAAAGTGGCAGAATGATAAGCATACATAGACATTATTTAATGCATTACTTTAGAACAAGTGTCCATTCTTAGTAAAAACAATTGAGGCATTCAAATATTGCTCTTTAAATTTTTTATGGCAGTGTAATACCAGTGACTTCTGTTTTCTCCTAATTTTAATTTCTTTAAAATTTTATTATTTTGTCTACGTGAATGTCCATTTTTTACTTTTGGTAAAAAAGTACTTTTTTGATAAGAAAGCACTTTTGGTTGTTGGTGTGTGTAGTTGACATCCTTATCCACATTTCCTGTGATTTTAAGGCTTAGTGTTTCACTGTACAATATATAAGGATGATTCCACCTGTTTGCAAATATTTTTGTATCTGATTAACCTCATCTAAAACCTCACACTAGGGAAGAAAAGATAACTTAAAAAATTGCATACAGCTAACATTGTTTATTTTGAATCCAGGAATCTAAGAATGTGGGAATATGTACTATCATAGGGCCTGGAAATGAACTGGGTCAAAAAAAAAATGAGCCTAATTAATTCCAAACAATTACAAACTGACTATAGGAAATAGGCGTAGCTGAGCCCACATGTGTCAGGGGCCAACTGCAAAACTGGCAGTTCTCCAAACTTACTTTCATATAGAATACAATGCTTATTAGAGATAATAAGTGCTAATTTTAAAACTTACATCTATATTACTAAAACTTAACAGTCAAACTCAGATAATTTTTTAGAACGTAAATTGCCAATATATTTTTTGCGGGAAGAGAATTTTATAAATGAGTTCTTTTTAGAATTTCTAATGCATGATGATAATAAAAGCAGATTGACTTGTAGTCAGGATTATTACTGATTTTGAATTCTCTACAGACCAAGCCTTCCCCTTTCCTTATTTGCCACACTGGAAGTTGGCCTCTTCTACAGCCCAGCCCTCGGTACTTCACTACAGTATACAGTTGGTTGTTATAGACCTGGACGTAGATTGAGGGATTTCAACCTCCACACTATTGACGTTTGGGCTAGATAATTCTTTGCCGAATCAATAGATCCATGTGGTTAGGGTTGGGTATGAAAAAGTCCAGTATGGAGTAACCACTATCTGGCAAGGCTTCTAGCTTATGCAATGATACATGTGGGAGGCAAGAGAGGAAGAGGGTCACTGGCTCAGCCAGCACATTCAGGTGAATCAATCGTTTTCCAGAACTGAGATGATAATGTACCTAGAGCCCTTTGAAATCCATTTTAGGTCAACGGTGATCTTGACAAGCAAAGTTACAGTGGAGTGTTTAACAGGGAAAGTTACCAAAGGGCAAAGCATTGAGAAACAGTTAAAAAGTGATAAAGCAGAGATATGCTTGACTATGAATTGGGCAAAATAACAGCTGCTTTCTCTAACACTACTCCTTACCAGAGAAACAGCATTGAATTTCTTCAAAGAGAGGCTAAGCGACCTGCTCGTTTTAATTCCCCAGGCTCTAGATCTTGCCTCTCTCTTAGTCTTGATGGACAAGTAGCCCAATGGGTTTGCTGTAAACTCCTTGCTCCTTGATGGTCATGTTCAAATTAAAAATATTTTCCCTGAATAGGTTTTTACACCATAAACTTTAGTCTCTCCCAAATTGCTATCTTTGTATTTAAATATAACTAAGAGAAATTTCCTTTAAAAGTTACTCAGTCATTTACAAATCCATAAATATCCTGGTATTTTGAAACCCACTTCTACCAATATATTAAGTTTTATGAATTTTGATTTTTGCCTCAAAAGGCCTCGCTTCACTTTTTAAAAATTTCAATAACTTAAGAGAACCACCATTTTTTGTGGAAGATATATTGTAAAAATGAAAATGTTTTAATTTCTATGCCTAATATTTTTGGAAACTTTAAGAGTTTATTTTTTAAAAAAATCTTTAGAAGCTTTATTCTATTTATAAAATAGAATTTCTTTTATTACCTTTGTTACTAGACTCAGGTCCACCTGCCACCCCAGATAAAGAAAGACCATTCAGAAGTCAAAAGTAGGTAAGGGTAGGAAGTCACCTTTTATTCGGGAATACAAGTGACCTGAGGAGATGTGTTCAGCTAACCTATCCCTCTGGTAAACCTAAAGGAGAATGGCCAGGCTAAAGCCACCTCAAAGACTCATATTTATTGAGGGTTTTTTAAAGAAAGGGCTGAGCGAATGGAACATGGGAACCGAAAAGCAAGAGATTGTGTGAGGTGTGGGGTCTCCATGCAAGTAGCCAGGTTCATGGTCTCCATCTGGTTTCTACTGTCATCTTTGCTGTTATCTCAGGGTCCTGCTGGAGGGGTGCAATCAGCATAGCTTTATTGATTTCTTCTTTGGTTTCCCAGCATCTGGCTAGTACATGCAAGTCTGCAAGTTTGCAGCTTCAGGCTGGCTGGAAAACAACTTTACCTTTATATAAATAATGTTTTCTTGCTCCATAACCAAGCTTCGAAATATCAAATAACCATGGGAAAAGACACAGCTCAGAAAAATGTATGCCAAGAAAAAAAATTGTGTCCTTTTAAAATTTTCCTACAACTCGTGAAGTTTTAGGTCCCAACATGGATTCAGTTCTGCTCACTTCAACATCTAGATTTTATTTTAACTAATTTCTTCCACTGGGAATTTTTCCCCTATTCCACAGCTTCCTATTGAATTGCCACCCTTCCTTCAAAAGTGAACTCAAACCCCACCTCCTCTGGAAAGCCTTCTAGTCAGATTGCTCTTCACTCCTCTATAATATTCCATTAGTACTTTATTTTCTTACTACAACACTTA